TTTGACCTACTTTTTTTTATTACCATATCCAACTTATAAAATTAATAATATAATACTTAAATATCATACAATTTAATTAAATAATAAATAATAAGAAAAGTAAATGATTATTGAATTTAGGTACCAATTAATGTTTTAGAACAATGTATCAGGTAATGTAATTGATTATCGATCAAGAGGCTGCAATCATGATAAAGCCAAAGTTCTGATCATGATTACAATGCAAATTTAACTACTCAGATTTATTATTAAAACCAAAATGTTGTATTCAATATTTATTTACAATTTTATTTTCATTTCATTCACTAAAGAAAAATCAAATACGTTATTGGTTCAATTAGAAAAATTTATGTAAATATGATAAAATTGAACCCATATAAGAACTTATATAAATAAAAATAATAAATTTTACATTTTATTAAATTTGACGGAATTTAAAATATATTATTGAGTTACACATACAATTATATATGAAAATTAAATGTTACTATTTAATAAACTTACATTTTGAAATAAATTTTTGTAGCTAACTAAAAAGGTGAATTAGACAAAAGAAAACAGGGTGGCAGCCCGGACCACTGCACTTAAAAATTATACATACAAAAAACGGCAGCAATTTAGGATTCTATAATCAGAGCGTGCAGTGGTCCAGAATCCAACTCACTTTTCTTTCCCATTTTTTTATTTTTATTTTTTCCTTTTCTTGCCTCCTTTTACTTTTTAATCAATTAGTACCTTTTTTTTTTTAAAAAAAAAAAAAATTATTTACAAGAGTAGCATAATTTACAAATCAAATTTATATTATTATAAATGTGGATAGAAGCACTAATTATCTAATAGAAAAATATATTAGTACTTCCAAAAGTTTAGATAAAGAAAAGATGCAGGCATTTTTTTAATATAGTAAATAAATATTTTCTTGAATGATAATTTGAGAAATACTATTCAGTAAAATGTATCTATTAAATTTTTTATATTATTTTATCATAATTATAGAATAATTCTCAATTTATCATAGGAACTAAAAATTAATTTTTTTTTAATAAAATTAATAATATTTTTAAAATAGTACTAATAGCAACAAACCTTATTTCTGAATTTTGTAATAACACTCGCATGTGATTTCCATATTATAAAAATAAATAATTTTTGGCATCTGATATGAACTCTCAGTTTCTCTCCTTCAACTTCTGTTACTTTTATTCCCGAAAGCGTCTTATTTTTCTGTGTCAAAATGAAAGAGGAAGCACATTTTTGACACCTCTCCTTTCGTACAGATAACCGCAAGCATTCTGCAAGCATATCGTTAAACACTTCCCTCCATTAACGGTTGTGTTCCAGTAAATACAGAATGCTTTTGAGTCAGTTCCAGAGCTCGAAGCCATGGATTACACCCTCTCCAGTATCCAGACTGTATCGGATTCCATCTCCAGAAAGGTATTTGTCTTTCCATTTGATAAAACTCGCTCACTTGTCTTCCTTTCGACTTCAATTGCTGTACAATTTCATTAACGATCGCAGATTTTAGAATCGGAATTCAGTGTTTCTATCACTCATAATATCGATGTGAACTCTGTCAACTAGAGAAGTAACTTACATTTGGTCACTGGTTTCGTGCGACTAAGCTCTAGCTTCTGATTCGTGCATGTGATCCGAATTAGTTTGTTGGACCAAAGTCCAAACACAATGTAGATTTGAAATGAAAATTTCCCCACAGTTACTCTTCTCTGTTTATTATACTAGTTTTGTTTACTTCTTTTATGTAAATCTGGTTGTGTGTAAGGTGTTATTAATTTGATTGGATTCTGAAGGTTTATATGTAATAGGTCTCTATCTGCGTGGATCAAATTAGTGTCCATGGAATTGGAGGTACTCTTTTATTCTGGTTTTGGAGACAGTGGGGCCCTGAACTTATAGGTGAATTGACAGTTATATAATGGAAGAAGAGGGACATGCGAGTTTATACGAGCTCTGGGTGTTTTTTTAAAATAAAAATAAAAGAAGAAGTTTATTGGAAATAGATGGAGAAATTACAAGCTAAGGGAGGATTGATTATCCTCTAGAAAGGAAAAAGAGAAAGAGTGGCAATAGAAATACGAACAAAAAGGAAACAAAAAAGTGTATCAACATGATATTAACAAAAGTGTATCAACATGAAATAGCATCTCCTAGTCCTGTTGTATATAGATAAGGAATCTCTGTAAAGAAACCATTACCTTATACTAAAGAGAACTGGGAAACATTATCATCTCCCAGTCTAATATCCTATTAGTCCCTGGCTTGAATTCTCCCATTTCTCTTCACAGAGGAACATAATACACTCTGAACGAGGAACATAATCTACTTTGGACCTCCTCCAAACTGTCCCACGATACAGATATGCTTGGATGAGTTGACTTCTGTACATGTTTGAAATAATCAGAGGTTGCCTTAGTAACATAGGATCAAATGCCTACAGAGAATTAAATAAAGGTTTGGAGAAGAAAAGTTCATTGTATTCATCTGTGAAGTTCACCAACTAACTAGAAGTGGGAATACATTTCTTGAAATTTGTGGTGGTGGTTCGAAATGCATGGAGTTTGTTGTTTGATTGATCAATTACTTGGTTCGGGATATACATTTATCAATGTATCCTCCTTTTGTTTTTAAGATAGTAAGTATATTAATCTTTGTACTTGTAGCTTATTTGGTACTTCGTATTTGGCAAAGGAAAAATGAAGAGTTTAGGAGTTTGTCCTTGGAACGAGAAACCATACCAAAAAAATTTGAAGAGCATTAGTAAATTAGCATCCAGGATTTTTGATGAAAGAAGAAAATTTTTTTAGGTGATTGAAGGGGGTTAACGGGCAAGTAGTAAAGGAAGGGATATTAACAGTTCAGAACTATTTTGGGAAGAAGGTCAAACAGGTGAAAAAGGTTTCAGAAAGGGCACATGGGAATGTGGAAAAGCGCCTTTGATTTAGCTTAAAACAATTTGGAAACCAATAAAATTTGAAGCAGAAATAATATACGTGAACAGGAAAAAAGCTTTTGAAGTTCTGGATTCACAAAATTTTGGGAAAATTTCTTTTAGTGGTTACATGGGCAATTACGTTTAGAGGGTCGTTAGATGTTTAGCACGGAACACTGGGAGATGAAAACAGGAACTAGTTTTAACATCTTACAGAAAATTTAAAAAAGAACTCTAGCCTTATTGACGTCATGTTTCCACAATTATTTGGAAATTTTAAGAGTAGTTATAAGTTTAAAAGGATTCAATCTCTAACAAAAACCATAATAACATTTGAAAAGAAATTAACTAGCTTAGAATTACTTCTAATGCCATAAGCTAGTAGATTGAATGCAACTGTACTATGAGCATATCTACCAGAAGAAACATGGAAATAAATTTGATGTCAACTGGAGTGACCTACAAAAAGATTTCAAATGGACTCTGCATAATTCTTAAAGACTAGAATGCTAATTAAGGGATGACATAACGTTTGTATCAAGATTTCCATAATCTCTTTGCTGGTTATTTCAATGAAAGATGTTACTAGGAAGCTAGTTAACTAGATACACAGTGCAGGGACTTTCATAGAAGATGGATATCTAATGCATGCAAATAGATCCATTGAAGATGTCCCTTTTCTTTGTAAACATTTCATAATTAAGGCTCTTTTTATTTTTAACAAAACTTCAATATTAACTAAGTTTGTTGCAGATAAGTTTCTTTTATTGCATGACTCATAAGCATGCTTATTTTCTACTTCTGCTTATGTATAAGCATCCTGTTCTGCATCTGCCCAATAATGACAATAGTAAAGGTTGATACTTTCATAGATATGCTGGATAAAGGTTTCATTTATTAAGGATGTAAGATATAGTTAAAATACTATAGGGGTCTCATTCCTTTGCTTGTTCATCTTGTTACATTTCTTATTTTCTTGCATAGGATGCAAGTTTTAAAAAAACTTCAGTTCTCTAAATGTGGAGGAGCCAGTTTCTCCTTTATTCATTCCTGAGCATTATTTTGTAGCTTAAGAGACTTATCCCGAATAATACTTTCCAGGAAATCAATGCTATGTCAGTTATGGTGGACAAAGTCTTCATCTTCAAATGCACAGGACTTCATAATATTCAGAGGAGGTAGGTCCTTTGGGAATGAATATTTTGGATTTGTCCTTACGAATTAATTTCTTTTGTTAATATAATGTATGAAAATATGAATCTTAAACTATAGATGCTTATTCAAGTTAATTAGTTAGGGATTACGGTAATCCGGTGTAGCTATTCCAGATTTCCGGGATATTATCTTTCCAAATCTGGAATATTATCTTTCCTTATCTAGTGGAGGATTTTCTCCGGTTAGATCAACTTAAGGCCTGACTTAGTGCTAGATTCTCAATACATATTCTTCACATTCTTCATTCAATAATAAGAAGAAGAAAACCTAGAATTTCCTCTTAGTTTCTTCAACTTCTCTTTTCGGTTTTTTTTAATGGTATCGAAGACTATCTCTGAGAACCTAATATGATCCCATGACCATATATGGCATGGCAACTGAAAAACAAAGCTCCCTTTCTGAAATTTACTCCACCCCAGAAGCTACACCAATTGCGAGTAGCTATGGAGGAATAGAAACATCTTCTTCCCTTCTTATTACCAGTCACAAACTCAATAGATAGAATTATCTTCAATGGTCCCAGTCCGTGATGATGTTCATTTGTGGGAAAGGAAAGAATGAGTACATTACAGAGCAAATACTGTTCCTTAAAAGAACTATCTTGAATTCAGGCAATCCCAAAACTATATGGTGATGTATTTGTTTATTAACTTTGATGCGGGAGGGTATGGGAATGATCGTTTTGATTCTTGAAACCTCAACCAACAAGGAAAAATAAAAGAAGAAATAAAGACGTCATGACTTACCAGATAAACTGATCCCAACTCCTCGGTTCAACAAGATTTTA